GGGATGTAAGTGACCATATGATCGTTAGTCAGGGAACTAGAGTCCCCTGTGACCCCCAGGCGAGGGCTTATCGCTGTGCCATCATTTCCCTCCCACCTCCGTGGAGCCTGGCAGGACATCAGTGAGGAGGATTCGGGACAGCGGGGAGGTGGGTCCCACAGAGCCAGCACTGGCAGGGCGATGGGCATGGGGCAGGTCCAGCCCTCCGGGTGGCCTCCTTTGCTTCCTGACTCTGGGAAGATGGACGTCTGGGCACCCTCCCTCCTGCCCTTCTTCCCCTCTCACCTTCCCAGTAACACCTGGAGGGGAGGCAGCGTGTGTGACGAGTTCTGAGTGAAGCCTCTCAGAAGCAGGGAAGGACAATTTGAGAAATCCAGGCTCAAGAGGAAGGGCTGGAGGTCCTCTGGCTTCCTTCTGACCCTCCTGTCAAACCCAAGCCTTGAACGTGGTAGCCAGTGACACAAGCAGCCCAGAGCCAAGCTGAGAGCTGTGCTCCCGAGTAGGGATATGAACACTCTCCTTCATTCGTTCAGTGGATTGGGGCAAGTGTGAGGCAAAAATGCAGCTCCTGGTTGATGGGAGCATTGGTTCCTCAAAGATTGCCAGCAGAGTTATTGGGGAGGGGGAGTTCCAAATGGAGAGAGAGGCAGTAGTGAGTGGAGAGGTGGTCCCAGCAATGCCTGGCACAGGCAGGCAGAGGTGACGAGGGCACAGGCCTTGGGAAAGGTGTGGGCAGGAGTGGGGCTGGGGAGAGAAAGAGGGCTCCAGCTGGAGCCTCCCGCCCTGAGGCCAGGGCAGTCCCAGCCGGGGGCCTTGCTGCCTCATGACTCGGATTTGGGTCTACAAATCCTACTGATACCACAGTGGAATAAGGGGGGGCAGTATGATCCCAGTTTTACAGATGAGGAAACCAAGACTCAGAGAGATCCAAACAGTTGCCTGAAGCCACACAGTAAGTCACAGAGCCAGAGCCAGGATTCAAACTGAAGTTTGATTCAAAATGCCACCTCTGACCACCACGACTAGATCGTTGCCTCTGCTGGGGTGGTAGGCTTGCACGGGCTCTGTGACCCAGAATGTCCTCCTTCCCTCTTCCCACTGTCCCCAGCACAAGGCCAGCCGTGTAGACAGTGCCGTGTGCTGGGCTGGAGGTTGGGTGGTCCACGAGTACCCCAAGGCATGCTGTGAAAGCACCCAGAAATCCAGGGTGCAAGCAGTGTGTTCTGGGGATCGTGTACTGCTTTGTCTCCACAGCGGAAGAGGATGGGCGATGGGAATGGTGGCCATAGGGATGGGGGATGGGGTACGGAGAGGGGCCAGACAGGGAGGAGAGTGGAAGAGCAGCTGATCAGAGCGAGGACGGCTGGGGAGGTGCTGGCCATCCCTGTTACCAGGGAAATGCCCAGGTCAGTGCCTGAGGTTCAGGAGTGTGGGCCATTATCTTCCTGAGCAAAGAGAGCTGGGGACAGGGAACTCCAGTTATGCCTTTTCTTGCTGCTGGGCTGTCCTGGGAGTCTCAGCCATAGATGTTTATGGTTTGGTGATCTTCCCCTGGAAATAATCAGTGGCCTCTGAGCAGCACTTGTAAACTTGAGTGTAGAAAACTAGGTGAGAAGTTGTCATGGTGAAAGAAGTTTCTCCTTGAAGTCCCTGCAGAAACTCAGTGATAGGGTGGCAGGGACAGGCTTGGGGGTCTGGGCTGGCAGACACAGTGTCTAGGGTTGCAGAGCTGACTTGGTCAGAGAGACCCACGGTACTAGGCTATGGGCTTGCGATCTTGATCTTGCTTCTGCCCTCCCCGCCCCTCCCCTTTTGGCCTTGGACAGTGCAGTTGCCTGAGACTGAGGCTAAGGGAGGTCAAGGACATCCAGGGAGAAGAGCTGGGCCAGGGCTGTGACACCATCACCAAGCCCAAGGCCAAGCAGAGGTGCCCGGCGAGAGGCTGGAGGTGGGGTGGGCGCTGGCTGCTCTGCAGGAGTAGAGATGGCTTGAGTTTGGGGTGGGCGCAGCAAAGAGATTTGCTCCAGTGCCTCGTTTCTGTTCCCAGAGGACAACTATGGTGACAGAGTTGCAGCCAGCTGCTCCCTGGCTGAGGGGGAGCCTGCTCAGGCCCGGCTGCCCACTGCCCACTGCCCACCCAGCTGTAGTCAGGGCTCGCTGTGGCCCTGAGGTGGAGCGAGGGCGTCTCTGTCTCACACACACCCACGAGTGTGTGCGCGTGCACGCACACAGACACACTTCATCCCTGCACTCTCCCTTTCACACACAGCTGTTTCCTGGTTCTCGGGCCCACCCCACACCTGTCCTGTTTTGCAGTCTCTTTCTGCTAGTGTCTGAGCTGAGGATCTGGTCCCAACTCCCTTCCTTACCTCCTTCCCACACAACAAAGGGCTGGCTGTGTGACACTCGGAGTCTCCTCAGGCTTCAGAGAGTTGGTGATCTGACCTGGAGCTACACAGGTGGGGTGAGGGAGAGCAGGGACCAAGCCTGGATTGTTCCCCAGTGAGGCTCACCATCCTCAGCAGGGCCACTTCAACCTCGGGGACAGCAGCAACCACTCTTCAAATCTCCTTTCCTGACAAACAATACGTCTTTGCTGGGTGTGAACTCTGGCTGAGGCAGTGAGGGGCTACCTGGCAATAAGGTGGAAGGGATTTGTTAATGTGTGACAGGAGGGGAGAGGAAGCTGCAAGATTGTAGTGCTGAAAATCTGGGTGTTGAAAAGGAGTATTCTCTCTTAAATCCATGCCCAACTGCCCCTCCCCGGGTAAAGAAGGGAGGACCACATGAGATTTCTATTTCAAATTCCTCATTTATTTTGACATTCACTTGGTTGCAACTCCAAGTTATCAAAGATGTAAGACCAGAAATCTGAGCAGGAGAAGTGAGGTGGCAGTGGAGAGAGATGGCCGAGGGGACCGAGTGTGGCCGGCCCCTCCTCCTCCTCTTCCTGTTTAGGCTGCAGTTTGGAGAGTGGACAAACAGTGTCTCATAGGACAGACTCCACAGCTAAAAAGGACAGTGCATCTGAGCGGGATGAGCTTCCTTGTCCACAGGGTAGGCCCTCGCAGCTACAGGGAGGTGGACAGGCAACCTGAGCCTGGGTCGGAGCCTTGCGCCCTGAGCAATGTGGGCTGTGTGGGGAAGAGCTGGGGCCCACCATTGCTCCACACCTCGAGCCCAGATTTCCTGTGTGGGTTGACAGGATTTAGACTGGGAAGGCTACAGGAGGAGATGGGATTGCACAGGATGCTTTGTACTCAGGGACCCCAATATATCATGAGCAAGAGGCAGGTGAGATTTAACTGGGTTGTCTTGACTTTTACAAAGGCAGGAAATATGATGACATTTTTGGTGAGGAAGGATGTGGCTGCTGTGGACGACTGGCTGTGGAACTGCAGGGGAGCAAGGCACTGGGGTTGGTCGTCAGGAAGTAGGGAGGGCTGCCAGGCTCGGCAGCTGGTCAAGAGGCGGCGCGTGGCCCAGTAAGGGCTGGTGGTGGGATGGGGTGTGTTAAAGCGGTTGGCCTAAGCTGCCCCCTCTGCACTGGGAGACGGACCTCATTACCCCACCCAGAGCTGCTTCCTGGTATTAGAGAAGTGTTCCTGTGGGATGGCATCACGGGTGGATGCCCAAGTAGAACGCTGGCCTCTAGAGGAGCTGATGCGGCTTCAACCATTGCAGCATCACCCCATGGATACCTGGAGCTCTTCTTATACCGGCTGGCTGGTTGCCGTGGGGACTGGCCACCTCAATCACCTCTCGTTCATGCTGTCTGGGAGTCAGATTTTTCTTTCTAGCTGGTACATCTGAGACCTCTTCACCCTGCAAAACCTGAAACAGCAAAGCGCCCAGTGTCTGCTGGTGGTGACTGGTGTGTGTGCCCGTGTGCACACACCCGGGAGTGCACACACCCTCCCAGGACTGCATCCATGCACGCTGCTCAGTGTGCTGGACTGGGGCCGACAGCCAGCCAGATCTCATTTGCTAAGCAATTAGAACTCTAGAAACAAAACTTGAAAAAAAGCTTCTCCAGTAAGGGGCAGCTAGTTCCTAAGGCAGAGAAAGGATTTTGGGGGAGACAAAGACAGAGAATCACTTTTTGGTGCAGTCTCCACAAATAATCTTATGCCATAGCCTTTAAAGTCAACATGTTCCACAAAGAAGGGGGCAGATACAGATGCGGTGAATCAATGTCCCCGTTGGAGCAGCTACAGTGACAACAGTACCTGTGATAACCAAAGTACAAAACTAGATTGTGGGGCCGGCCCGTGGCTCACTCGGGAGAGTGCGGTGCTGATAACACCAAGGCCGCGGGTTCGGATCCCATATAGGGATGGCCGGTTGGCTCACTGGCTGAGCGTGGTGCTGACAACACCAAGTCAAGGGTTAAGATCCCCTTACCGGTCATCTTTTAAAAAAAAAAACAAAAAAAACAAAAACAAAAACAAAACTAGATTGTGAGTTAGCTCTTGGATTGGTTTTAGCAAGCAAGTGGTAAAAAGGTCCTTTCAAAATTCCTTCCCTTTTCTTCTCGGATTCTGGACCGTTTTGGTTTCCCTTCTCCCTTTGCCCTTTGTCCCCCTTTCTTCTAGGCATGGCTACTTCATTTCCCAAGGACTCTGGAAGCCTCAGAGCCTTTGCTTAGCTTTCCCAGGTGCTCCTTTTCCCAGTCCAGCAAAGCCAGGAATTTGGGAGGTACTGATGGGGGTTGCTGTGGTGCTGGGGCTGCAAGAGGAATGTCCCAACAGAGAAACTGGCAAAGCTGCAAACTCAACCTATCAGGCCCCCACTGCTGGGCCATGGAGTTGGGGCCAGGCCCTGCCCTTGTTCTTGATGCACTCAGTAGCTTGAGTCCTGGTACACCCTCCAGTGTGCAGCAAAAGAAACCAAAGAAACTGAGACAGTCCTCATGGGGCTGCTGGAGGGTCATCCACTGCCCCCACTGCTCCTGCTGGGGCAGCAGTGCTGATGTGTGTGCAGGTCGGGGGTGAAAGGGGTTACACGTCTGTACTAATAGCCCTTGGATTGGTGAAGGCCTCACGCCCAGAGCCTGGCCAGGTCACCGGGTAACTCTGGGGCACTGCCAATTTGAGGGGTGGGGGTCCCCCCTCTTTGTAGTATGTAGGAGCAAAGGAGAGCCTCTCGCCCCCACCCCCATTGGGCACCATGTCAGCCGTCCGTATGTAGAAGGGGGAGCTGTACGGGGAGCAGGTGGTACAGTGGCTTGCTGCCACCCCGCACGGCTGGCTACAGGGCTCGCCGCTGAGAGGCGCCAGTCTGCCTCTGCTGTCCAGGGCTTGGGAGCTGCAGGCATTGCAGCTGGGGCCTCTGGGGTGCGTGGTGAGGTCGTGCTCCTCCTCCTCGTCTGCATCCTCAGCTTCGCTCTTCTTGCAGCAGTAATACTGGGGAAGGGGAGAGGGGTGCCTGAGAGGGGCACATGCTCCCCCACCCAGTGCACTGTTGAGCATGCACAGGCACCCACACCCTCTGCTGCACTGAGTACCTTGTGCGGGGCACTTTGTTGGTGCTGGGGATAAAACTGAACATCAGCATTCCACAAGTGTATATTCCCAGCCTTGCAAGGCCAATACTTCTTTCCTTTTTCCTTCCCCCTACTTCTCAGTGTATTAATTCCAGCCCATGGTGAGGGGGACAGAGGGGCAGAGAGGGAGGGACATGTACATCATGTTGTGGACAGAGCTGGGGGGTGCTGCTGGCACCAGCTTTCAGAGCCTCCCCAGAATGCTGCTCTTCCCACCGTTCCTCAGATCTCAGAGGTGCTGGAGACACAATATGATGACCCAGTCTCTTCTCAGCACACTCCCTCTGGGTGCCCCGAAGGGTGCAGCGTGTGGGGGATGCATAGCTCCCTTGTGACCACCCCTAACTCCCAGTCTCCTTGACTTACACCTCCCACATTCCATGGCTTTGGGCTTGGGTAGCCCTCCAGTGGGCCTCCAGTTTCTGCCCCTTAATGAAGAAGTGGTTTGCTGGTGGCCTCTGGCTACAGGCCCTGGGGACTGACCTGGAGCCTACAGTAGCACAGGACTGCGATGATGCAGAGGAGGATCACCGTAGCTAGGATTCCGCCAGTGATCACAACTGTTCCCGCTGTCATCCGCCCGACGCCCCATCAAACTCTGCAAAGATGTGTGTGGAGGGGTGAGGAGCAGCTGCAGCTGCCACGCTGCGCATGGGCGGGGAGCTGCCCTGGAACTCTGTGCAGCTGGAGGCAGGTGCTCCTGGGAGCAGCGGGAGTGAGGCAGGCCCCAGGCCCCCACGTGTGTCCTGAAGACCGGGGACTGGTTATGACTGGAGGCTGGGGCCAGCTTAAGCCAGAGTGGGGGGCTACAGCTGCAGGAGGGAAGAGAGGAGGCGGAGTGCTAATTCTGCTCCCTGTTTCTGTCCAGTTTCAAAAGGTTCTTGCCGTCTCTCTCTTTAGTCCTCTCCTCACACCCTTCTCAACCTCCCCCTCCCCATGGCTCCGAGACACACGCATGATCGCTTCTGTAGCTGAGGGCTTGGCCCGTGGGAGGCGGTGTGCTAAGTCACCCTTGCCTTACCCAACTGGATCCTCACAACCACCTTTAGGGACAGTTATTAATTATGCCAATTATACATGTGATGAACTAAGGCTCAGATTAACTTGACTTGTACTCCACCCAGCCTGGTTCATCCTAAAGGCCATGCTATGTGTCACTGCCCTCCTGGGTACAAACCCCAGTGCTCCCTGAGCCATTGGCCCAACTCTCAAAAGTTCCACCTGGTGCTGCCCTGGCTCAGACCCACACTCCTTTTGGTGGTGTCTCTCCTCTCCTTCATGCCCTCATGGAAAACAAGGGTAAGGCGAGCCCAGAGCAAGCGAGCAGGCAGCAGCACCCCTGCTCCCGGAAGGCTGTGGCCAGGCTGGGGAGATGGGTCCTGGCTAATGGGGCTGAATGATCAGGACAGAGGCACCCTCTGGGTGTGAGGCTGTCCCAGCCTAGGGCAGACTCTCCTTTCAGGTCAGTGAATGGGGATTTCTGAGCCTCCCAGGCACATCAGGACCAAGGCTGGCTGTGCCAAGGGGCCGGTGGCGGGGACTTGGCATGTCAAGGATGGGAGAATGGCCATGAGCACTTACGTTCAGTAAAGGGAACGGTAACCTGCAAGACAACAAAAGGGAAGAAACGTTGGAAGAAGAGTGTTGCCCACTGAGAAAGGCCTCAAGGGCTGCACTGTGCCCTAAGCTCTACCCCACCCTCATCTCGCTTTCCTCATCAATAAGCCTGTGGATCCCCAATCCGGGTCTCCAGTAGCATCTTCAACTGCTCGTGGATAGACAGTTTGCTTGGATCACATCTCAAACTCAATATGACAGGAGAAAGTCATCACCCTGCTCTCCAAATGGGCTCTGCACCTCCAACCTCTCTGTCTCTGTGAGTGGTCCCACTAGAGCTGCTCTGAAGGGTTTTGTGGGTTGTGCAGCACTCAGAGGACAAGTGGAGGCTCAGACTCAACCGCACACTGCTCACAAAGCCATGCACCCAGGTGTGTTCACCCAGAGGAAAGAGCACCTTTTTCTTCACCCAAAGACACCACTGTGCCCCTAGAGGGCTACACGCACCCAGCGGCACTGCCTCCAGTTTACTCAAAGGTGCTGTGCAGCCCCACTGCTCACAGTGTGATGTGTGGACCAGCAGCGTGGGCATCTCCTGGGATTGTGGCAGAAATGCAGCAGCTCAGGCCCCACCACAGGCCTACTGAGTCTGAGCCTGTGCTTTAACGATGTCTCAGTTGATTCATTTGCATGTTAGAGTTTGACTAGGCCATGGGATGTTCCCCTAGTTGCCCAGACTTTACAGTCCTCCAATTCTTCTTCGACTTCCCCCAGTCTTCTGGTCCCCACACCAGTTAAGGTTCTGTGTCTCTCAACCCTGCCCTGGTGCAATGGTCTCCTCATTAGCCTCCCTGGCTTTATCTAGCTCCCTTCCTACCACCAGCAGTTTAGCCTTTCTCTACTCCCCTGTGACCCTCTATGACTCCCCCACCTTCCTGGCACCACACTTCCTGCAGGACACATTTATCTGGGCACGAACTTCTAGACAGAGCTCCACAGGCTCCCACATTTCCCTGCATACTCGCCACTAATTTATCTTTCCCTCCTTTCCTCCCATTTTCCCCCTATGAATCCTCTACAGCACCAGGCAGTCCTGGTTCTTAGGAAGCTTATAGCCTAGTGATGAAAAGACACTTAGCATACCTTATGATCTGGTGTAAGACATGCAACCAAAGAAGGGTCTGTGGGAGCACAGAAGAGGGGCAACTAATTCCATAGATGTTGTTTGGCCTGAATCATAAAGCCTGAGTAAGAGCATGTACAGTAGCCAAGGTGGGGAGGGCAAGGCAGGGGTGGGGGTTCCAGGAACTGTAAGAATATGGAAAGGCTGGGACAGGCCAGGAGAAGGCATGAAGCTGGAGAGGCTGTAAGCCAGGCACGGAATTGGGATTTAACTCTCTTGGAGTCAATGCGGATTCCTGAGGGGCTTTCAGTAGGGGAGTGCACAACTTTTCTTTTCTTTCTCTGGCTGTTTAAATGCTGCCCATCCTTCGAGGCTCTGAGAAGCCTTCCCTGGTGCTCTCTCTCATTTCTGGACTCCTACTGCATACCTTTCCTTGTTCCACTCTTCAAATCCTGTCTTGGTGGGAGGCTAGTCCAACTATTCAAATGGGAACGTCTTGACTCCTCCACTAAATTATAAGGCCTTTGGGATCAGGAGTTGTGTCTTATGTTGTTTCCTGTCCCCCCTGCAGCATTATACACTACGCCTGGCACACAGCAGGTACCTAATAAATGTTAGATAATCATGTCATTATTTAACATACAGGCCTGGCAGTTATGACTCTGGCTGACCACCAGGGGGCAGCAAGTCACATCGCATCTCAATCCCATCTGCAGACTTGAGCATCACTGTTCAGGACCAATTTGACCTTGCCCTGATGCACGGTGGGCCATGCTTCAGGAGTTCCCTGGGGCAACTGGTGGGGGACAGATGAATCTCAGCCTGGGGAGGATGTACACACCTTCACTACAATATCCCTTCATCCTCCCCCACTTCCCTGCCTGCTCACCAGTGAGGGCTGCTTACCAGACCATGAGGCCTGTGTGGTTACCTGAAGTTGGGGAGGTGGTAGTGACCCTCCCTACTCAATGTCTCAGCCTAGTCCCCCGGGATGTTCCTAGCCTGTCTGAGGAGGCAGGGGATTAAGGAGAAGCCATATAAGAACAGTGCCCCCTCCTCTCTGCCTGCTGTGCCTGGCCTCCGCTCTTTCAATACCACAGAGCCCGCACAGCAGCAGTGTCCTGGAAATGGGGCACACGGCAGCACAGGCAGAGCCAGGGGTCTGAAGGCCCAGGTCTGAGGCCCAACTGTGCCACTTAGCAGCTACCCCATGTTGGAAACTGACCTTCTTTCTTACTTTAGAAACAGAGATTAACAAAAAACTCAAGTTTGATTACAAGTGTGATTATGAGGAAAAAGTGAGATGTATGTGACAGTTCTCTGTAAACTCTAAATAACCCTATAAACACGGTCATTTGTGGGGGAAAGGAAGGCTCAGACATCTTGTAGCTGTCTAAGTTTGGCCTTATGATCATAATTATGCCAGGAAGACACTTGTAAAGGGCGTGAAATGAACTAGGTCCTAGCCCCTTCCCCGAGAGCCCAGGACTTAATGGCATAATTTGGCATTTAACTCCCACATTCAGTGGCTCTGTTATTTAGGTGAGCTCTTTTTCTCTCTGCAACTAGATGACAATAACTCCCTGCACCGGAACAGCATCCTACAATTTAAAAGTACTTCCATTTATATTCCCTTCTGTGGGAGGCAGGCTCTGAGATGACCCCAAATGATCCCTGCCTCCTGCCAGTCATGCCTTTGTGTGCTCCCCTCCCCTTGAGTGTGAGGCCACTTGTGATTTGCTTCTAACCAATAGAATGCAGCAAAGGTAATGGGATGTCACATCTGTGAATAAATTATGTCAGATTCTAACTTCCCTCTTGTTAGCCAGCTCCCTCCCTTGCTTGCTTCAATGAAGCAAGCTGCTAGGAACTGAGGCCCTCAATCCAATGGCACAAAAGGAACTGAACTGTCACATAAGTGAGAGCACAAGCAGATCCTTCTCCAGCCGAGCTTTCAGATGAAACCGCAACCCCAGCCAACACCTTGAATGCAGCCTCATGACAGAGCCTGAAGCAGCGAGTCCAACTAGTAAAGCCTAGATTCCTGATCCACAGAAACTCTGAGATAATAGCATGTGTGGTTTTAAGCTGCTAAGATTGTGGTAGTTTGTTACACAGCAAAACTTCATACACCTCCCTGAACCTTACAAAAACCCCACAAGGCAGGAGGGGAAGCCAGATCATTAAGTGATTTGCCTAAAGTTATAGGATAGCACGTGTCTGAGTCAGCACCCAATGGCCAGTGCTGTGGAGTTTCCATCATATCAGCTGCCTCTTGAGTAGTTTCCTGAGGACAGGAGGAAAAGATCCCTAGGTTCTCTCCTAGGTCCCAGCACATCTGGGATGGAATGACTCAGTGTTGAGCAACTCAGGGGCTGGGGGAAGCCAAAGAGAACCAACCTGTTGACCACCAAAAAATCCCAAGGGCCTGCCCTCTGTGACCAGGACTTCCTGAAGCTCCCTCCCTACCCAGGGCCCAGACACCTTCTCCCGGGGTAAGAGGGGCTGGCCTGTGCCTTATACTTACGTGAAACTGCTGGAGTAGTGGTGCTCAGTCACGCGGGCTGTGCCTGAGCAGACAGCAGTTGGGGGTGTGACATGGCCCAGGGCATCTGTCCCTGCCAGAGAAGAGAGGGGAAGATCAGTGGGAGCTGGATGGGGGAGGCTGAGAGGACAAACAGGTTCCTGCTGGCGCTTGGCTGTGACCCATGACTCTAGAGTGGAAGCGTCCCAAGGGGCTTGCTTCTTGACCTCCATGGCTGCCTTAGCCACTGAGGTCTCCAGCCTAAGGACCCAAGGACAGACTTCTAAAGTCACATACTGTCCTGTCCTTGTCTCCTTCCCTTAGTGCTGCTGTCGGGAACCCTCTGCCCAATGCAGCAGCAGGACGCTGGGCAAGAGCATTGGGAAGTGAGGCTCAGTTGGCAGAAGGGAGTCCAGCTGCCCCTTTCATGCTCCACTGGAGAACTCAGATCTGTTCCCCAGTGGAAGTGTCCTTGTTGTCTACATGACCAACCCCTCCCTCTATGGCACCACGTACCTCTTCCCGTTCCCTTCTCCACTCTTCCCTGGGCCCGTCCATTTCTTCCAGTGCCCACAGCTACAAAGTCCTTTCCCTTGTTCTAATATCCCGACTCCCCTCTGCCCAAACATGTCAACTGTATAGTCGGATGGCCAAGTTCAGGCTGATGTGCTGATGTAGGAGGGGAGGCAAGACCCCAACGAGACACCTAGGAATCCCGTGTAGGCTACCTATTGGGGGTCTCTTTAATTCTTTAAAAACCTGGTCAACGTTATTTAGAAGAGAGTCTGGATCCAATGCTGGGAATGGGCAGGGGGAGGAAGGGTGTCCTGTGGTGACAATGCTCAGGCTCTGCACAGTTGTTCTGAGGAGGGAGGCACCCCAGAGGTGTGTGTTTATGTTGGGAAGGACCCAACCAAGTACCTTTTATGTAATAGGAAAACATACTAGGTTAAGATACAATGTTCACAGCCACAGGGCTGACCACCTCCAGGTTCTGTGCCTCCGTGAGAAGTGCGAGGTCGAGGGACAGACATTAGCATCCCTTAAAGACTGTGCTCTCCTAAGTCCAGCAGGCCCTAGAAGCAGAGGTCTGGGAGAAGTTGAGAAGAAGGCAGATGTTCATCTACAGGGGGGCTCTGTCCCCACATTCACTTCCCTTCTGGATCTAGGACTTAATACTGTCTCCCAGCTCCTGCCTTGGACGTTCTGGGCACTAAGGCTTTCTTTTCTCAGAGATAATCTCACTCTCATTAAACTGTAAGTTATATGTGACTAGATGTTAGAGCTCCTATCCAAGTTTTGATTTAGCTTGGCAAAAGACGGAAATCAAAACACTAAAGTGAGCTTGGAACAGGCCCCTCTTCTGCTGGCCTGTTCAGACTGTACAATGGGAACGTAAGAACATCTGTTTCAGGGTCCGTGAACCCTTCCACCCACTTTGTAAAATATAGACGGGACAATAATTTGGTGAAGATTTGGTGAGGAAGGTTTCCTTGGTGAAAGCCACCAAGGAAGAAGGGCCATGGGGACTGGCTGTCTTGAGTCCTGTCCAATAGTGCCAACAGTGAGAAGACCTTGACTGAAGAGGCTGGAGGTAGCCTCTAGGGGCCTAGGGGCTGAGCAAGCAGGTGCCAGGGACCCCTGGAATAGAGCTGCTGTGCTTGTCTGGGTCAAGGCAACTGTGGGAGAGAGGGGCCCAGCAGAGAGCATCAAGAGAGCCCACGAAAACATTCACAAAAGCAAAAGCCAGTTTTAAGCTTCTCACAGCTCTCTAACCAGTAAGAGTCCCCAATTTCAGTCCTGGCAGGTAGTGGAACAACAGGTATGGGGGTAGTGGAAGGGAGGGAGAGGGCAGGAGGAACGTAGATGGCAGAGAAGTGGCCCACCTCCCTAGCCTCTGCCAGCCTGAAGCTGACCCAAACTGGAGGAAAGAAGAGTAACGCTGTCAGATTAGGAGTGTTTTGATTATAACTCAGGACTAGGATTCTAATTTTTGAGTTGAGATGGTATCTATGACTTAAAGTAACTAGAAGACTGTCACCTAAGAATGAATGAAAAAGTGAAGGGACTGGCCCAAGTTTTTTTCCAGGGGCAGGGGAAGATTTTTCCCATGGAATTCATTTTAAAGTTAAGGGACACCGAAAGGAAAAAAAAAACTAAAGTTGCTTTTTGAGCAAACCATGCAACATGCTTATTTAACATATCAGTACTTACAGAAAAATGATTCTTGGAAATGTAAGGACTCTGAGATCTGGTCCAATATCCTTATTTTCTACATGAAGAAACCTAGTTCAGAGAGGGCAAGTAACTTGCTTAACCACACACAGCAAGACAGATACAGACCTGGAGAGGCACAATTTGGCACTGGGAGTGGAGCCTCCTGACCCAGGCCAGGGCCCTGCCATTAAGTACTGTCTCTCCTTCCAGAAGATTGGTGTCCCCTGAAGTAGGGTTTTACAAATTGGCTTGATGGTAACCATCCCGAGCCACTTGTTAAAAAACAGAGACTCCAGACCTACTGACGTAGCATCTGCAGGGGAGGGGCCCAGGGATCTGTATTGTGAATAGGTTTGAGTCTTACCATCTGGCTTTTTTGGGAAGTGATGTGAGAATGAAGGTCTTTGGGAGGATTTCAGTCTGGAGGCAGCAGGGGAGGGGGGTGACCTTGCAAAGCCTGTAGCATCATCTGGTGCCCGTGACAAAACTGGCTCTGGGCTCACTTGTCCTTGGGGCAAGCGGGCCAGAAGTCAGGAGGAGGGGGGAAGTCTGAGAAGAATCAAAGGCACATGGCATTAGCCTGGGTGGGATGGGGCCAATAAAGAGGTCAGGATAGGGGAACTTAAAGGCTGGGGTAAGGCATTAAAACCCACCCTGATAAAATGTGGCTGGGATAAAATGGAATGGCTATCCCACTCCCCACACAGCCAGGGGTCTCTGGTCTTTCTGAAGTGCCCCCTGCCTTCAGTGACTTCAGTCTCACTAAAGCAGGGTCACCTCAACTCACTGACTGGATGAATGCTGGCAGGAGACACCAGCCACAGCTGGCACCAGCACATGTAATTAACGATTGACTGACCCCTGCTCCCTACTCGGCCCCCTGAGGAGCACAAGTTAATTGAGTGGGGCCTAAGCACCGGCTGATCTCAATTTCTTCCAATGCAATTAAGCCTTCTCCAATCATTTATTAACTCATGAAATTGACACAGCAGGTTAGCAGCCCCAGAGAAGAGGAACAATTTTTTCCTTGTTACCTGTCTTCCCAGACTGCAATCCTAGGGCAAGGCTGGCAGAAGGGAACAGAGGAAGGTGTTCCCTTTACTTTGTACTTATGCCCATTAGCAAGCCCCGACCCCCAGGATGAGGGTTTGCAGAGTTGGTGACCACATGGGTCCCTTTGCCCCAGATGTGCATCTATAGCAGCAAAGAGGTATGGCGCTGTTTGAGAAGGGTACTCGCTAGGAGATACAGGAACTCTTGCAAATCATCAAGGAGAAAAACCCAAGAACCTCAATGTAATAATGGGCAACAGACAGTTTACGAAAGGGTCAGCCCTAAAGGCTAAAAAGAAAATGAAGAGATGCACAGACTCATTAGTAATCTGAAGAAAGCAAATTGAAACCACAATGAGCTATCACTTTTTGCCTGCTGGGTTGGCAAAAATTAGGAAGCAGGATAATGCCAAGTATTGGTGTAGTTGTGGGAACAAAGGAGCTCTGTTGGTGGGGGCGTAGCTAGGGCAGCCATTGGGGGAGTGGCCTGACACCACTTAGTCATATGAAATGCACACATGCCTCATGAAACAGCAACTCTGCTCCTGGGGCTATGTCCCCCAAATTTCTCAACACAGCCATAAGGGGTCATAGGTGAAGATGTTCATTGCTGTGTTGTTTATGGTGGTAGAGAATTGGAAGCAACCTTGGGGAACATCACTGGGGAGTGGAGAGGTAAAATCAGGTACATGCACACCACAGAGGAAAATGAACCTGCTGAGAACAATGCACCAGGTGTATCACAGCAACGCATAGCAATAAGGACAAATCTTAGCACAGTGCTAAGTGAAAACAGAAACAAAAAAACCAGCATAAAATGTATAACAATACTGCTTACATACATTTAAAATACAAGCATACAAGTCAACAATTTACATTTCAAGAATACATACCAAAAAATGGATACACAGTATGGCTGCCTGTGGAAGGAGGGGAATGAGAATAAAAGAGAAGTAAAATAAACAAATAAAACAAGAGAGAAGCTTGCATAGACTAATGATGAACGATACTGTGCTGTGATCTGAGGAGTATAATGAACTTAGTCTTCTGCATCTGAGGTCCACCTCGAACAAAAAGAGGAAAAGAACCCAGGTCTGACCTCACCCAGGGAGCTTTCCATGCTTGACTTTATACTGCACGTTTTTGTTTGGCCTTCCTATGGCTTGCTTGTCCTCAGGTATCTGTATTTACTGATCCACTGGTATCCTGTGGGCACCTTTTGCTTCCTCACTAGGCTACAGACCATTTGAGGGCACAGACTTGGAATTGTGAGTCTTTGATAGGCTGTAGTCCAGCTGCCTGCTGGTCTGCACACTCCAGACATGTCCCAGCACAAAGCCTTCCGTTCTGGTCTGCTCTGCTATGTAGAGTGGAAAGAGCACTAGGCCACTGTGAGGCCTCATGGCTGGCTTACCATCAGCACAGCCAGGTTAAGCAACTTTCCCCCTTCCCCCCCACCCCCTTCCCGTTCCTGCTCCAGGCACTGAGATTCCCCTCCTGGGAAGGGGTAAACATTACTGTTATCAACAAGGGAATGTCTTGTGGGTTGCGTCTAGCAGGCTTTGGGCTGGAATGCTTTGTACTGAGATAGTGTCTAATCGGGAGTCTATGACTTAACCTATCAGATGTTATTGGACCACAAGGGCTGTTTCATCTTGCATGCCACTGATTTCAAAATTGCCCATTACTCTGAACTCTGCCTAAAAGTCTTATAACCCCCCTGCTTTCCTTAGTTCAGGGGAACTGATCTGGCTCAGCCTCCCCTCCACATTAGTGGAATAAAGCTTTTTGGCTGAAATGGTGCCTTGCTCGGGTCTCTCTCTCTT